AGTGGAACTGCCCCACAGGGTTTCCAAGGCTGTCGATCTTTACTGAAGCTGTCTGTCATTGCATCTTTTTCCTACAGAGCCACAGACCTTTTGGTTAGCATCCGAGTGCCTTAATCACTGCACCACCCCAGATCATTCCTTGCACTAAAGTAAGGCTAAATAAGAACTATCTGCTCCTGCAAATGTGACTTAAAGGCATACATAGGAATGGGTCTCATTTGTATCCTGGAGACTGCCTGTACTTTAAAAAATTATAGATGAAGGTGACCACTGGATCAGTAACCAGCTGCTGCCAAGCCTATTCCAATTCACGGTGCCCCTAAAGGTTTCAGCACTGTGCTTCACCGCGTTTTCAATGGCCGTGACCTTTTGAAGGATCTTGTCAGTCCTTTCCTCTGAGGTGGCTCCAGGTGGACTCAAGCTTCCAACCTTTTGGTGAGTAGCCTAGTGAGCTTAACTGTTTGAGCCACCCAGGGACTCCTGCAGACCAAGAAATGACTAGATAGGAGGGACATTGTATGTCTTGGTGACAGTCTGTCCTCATTCCCCCTGGGAGCAGACTATGTTCAACCATGGCAGAATGCCACTACCAGATATTACACAGCAAGTTAAGAGAGTGAGGGAAACCTCTAATAACATCTGTATGTTTCATTTCATGTTGTATTTGCCTATTTAATTTCCATCTCCCGTTGACTATAATAAAAGCTTCCTTGTTGTTGTTGTTTGCTGTCGAGTTGGCCCCGACTCATAGAGACCCCTCCTTGGGTTTCCGAGGCAGTATCTCTACGGAAGTAGATTGCCCAACCTTCCTTCCGAGGAGTGGCTGGTGGGTTTGAACCGCCAGCCTTCTGGTGAGCAGTCAAGTGCCTTAGGCACTATGCTACCAGAGCTCCTAAAAAGACTGAGTATTGTAAGTCATAAGCTCTCCTCTGACTCATAAGCTCTCCCACTGCCATTGAGTCTGTTCTGACTCATGGTGATCCTATAGGGCAGAGCAGAACTGCCCATAAGGGTCTCCAAGGCTGTCAATCTTTAGGGATGCAAAGCCCAAACCCACTGCCCTGGAGTCGATTCTGACTCACAGCGCCCCTAGAGGACAGAGTGGAACTGCCCCACAGGGTCTCCAAGGCTGTCAGTCTCCACAGAAGCAAAGCCCAAACCACACCCACTGCCGTGGAGTCCATTCCGACTCACAGCGCCCCTAGAGGACAGAGTGGAACTGCACCACAGGGCTTCCAAGGCTGGAAACCTTGAGTGGAAGCCGACTTCCTCATCTTTCTCCCTACCAATCTTTTGGTTAGCAGGCTTAACCACTGGGTCACCACAGTTCCTCCATGAGCGCTCCAACAGGTACCAGCACGAGGAGGTGAGTTTGATCTAATGCTTAAAGAGAGGATGCATCCTGTAGGGGCTGGACCCAGGTGAACCGAGTTCTTGAGGCAAATGGGTGAACCAAAAGCCAATGGGTGAAGTCCCGAGGAGAAATCATCAACCCTCCACCTGAGCTCTCTGTGGATCCTCATCCTACAACAAATGTAGTACAGAAACCCAACCATAACCAGGGTCAACGTGGTAGGAGGACTCCTTATGCCCAGACACTCGGGGGTAAATCCAGAATGCATTGCAGAGGAGACAGTGGCCTTGAGTACTAAGGAGGAGGCTGGTGGGCCATCCAAGATGTAGAAGCTGGTGCCTGGACAGAAGAGGTGGGCAGAGATGTGGGAGACGAGAACAGATTCCCTTGTGCTGAGAAGGGGGAGTTCCAAGGATGACTGCTGGGCTGGTAGTCCGTGCAGCATGGGTATAGTGGTCTCTCACTTTCCGTCTTTGTGCTGCGTCATCACTGGGCTGAGAACCAGCTGAGGGCAGGACCAAGGCTGTCTTGGGCACTGCTGTCTCCCCTGCTCCCAGCACAGGCAGGCAGTAAAACCCGTTGCCATAGTGTCCTCGCCAACTCATGGCTGCCCCATGCATGTTAGGGAAGACTCATGGGCCATAGGTTTTCAGCGGCTGACTCGGTCACCAGGCCTTTCTTCCCAGGTGCTCTGGGTGCATCCAAAACTCCAACCTCGGTTAGCAGCCATGTGCCGGCAGCGACAGAGTGTCCCACCCAAGGAAAGGATTAATCGGTCATCCCACCTCCTCCAGGGGCTGAACTGCAGGGTGGGGCTGAGAGAGGGCGGGCCCTGCACCCGCAGGGCGGGTCTGAGTGGGCGCAGCAGGAAGGGTGGGATTTATATTAAACCCCGCTGTGTTGTGTGAACGAGCCTGATACACAGAGAACGAGCTGGAGGCAGGATGCTGAAGCCTTACTATCTCCATGGTGAGTCTGGGTGTGGGGGGGCGCTGCGTGGGGCCTGCGCCAAGGGTTGGGGTGCCGGGTGGGATTCTGCGTGGAGGCTGGGGAGTGCCAATCTTGCCCCCCGCCCTGGACTAAACTTGTGTAGGACTACTTCCTGAGCTGTTAGAGGATGGGGGGGATGGTGGCGCTTAGGGTGTTTGGAGACTGAAGTTCAATTGTGCTGGGGGACCTCAGCACCCTGTGGCCCCCCACAAGTGACAGCGTAGAGACAGCTCTTGCAATGGGAGGGGTGAGGTAGGGGAAGTCGGAGCAGGCTGCGACAATACCTGGGTTGCTTAGGAGTGTGGAGCTGGCCCTGGCCTGCCTCCCTGAGCTGTGGGCCCTGCAGTCAGATAGGAGTCTTTACTGTGCCTGTTTCAAAGACATGGACACTGAGGCCCAGAGAGGTGAAATCTATCAGGACTGGAAGGTTGGGCGCTCAGGGAGAAGGGTCAGTCCCTGGGGTGTTTGCTCAACCCGGTTTCCCCGCCTGCAGACCCCGAGCCATCCCACGAGCCTCCGCGCAGGCGGCGCCAGGAGCGCACGGTCTACACCCGGGAACAGCTCCGGGAGCTGCAGACCTTCTTCGAGAAGAACAAGTACCCGGAGTACGACGAGCGGGTGGCCCTGGCTGCCAGGCTGCACGTGCAGCAGCACCAAGTGCAGGTCTTACCGCGCGCGGGGCGCCCCACAGTCACCAACACGGTCATGACTTTGAGTGCTTCCCACTGGCCGCCTGCGGGGGCACCACGGCTGGGCCCTCTCCCCGCTTCCCAAGCTGGGTGTGCCCGCAGGACCCCGCGTCCCACTCAACCCTAAGCTAAAACCAAACTCACTGCCATCGAGGTGATTCCGGTCACAGCGACCCCCTTGGGGTTTCCGAGGCGGTAAATCTTTCCGGAAGTGAATTGCGCAGTTTTCCTCCCTTGGGGGAGGTTTGAACCACCAGGCTTCTGGTTAGCAGCCAGATGCCTTAGGCACTGAGCTACCAGAGCTCCCTCACTCGACCCTGTGGCACCCAGCCCTGGTCTAACTCTTGGGGACCCTCCATAGACCCTTCCCGGGGCTCCTGGGTACACGCTGCTTCTCTCGCCCCTATTACCCCCTCCCCTCCCCATCCCTTACTTTCGTTCCTCTTGAATCCCCCCAAAATCAAACCAGTTGCTGACCAGTTGATTCCTACCCATGGCGACCCCATATCTCAGGAGAACTGTGGTTTTTAAGGTCATGACCTTTCTGACGTAGATCTTCAGGCTTATCTTCAGGCCTTAGGGTGGTCCTGAACTGCCAATCTTTAGGTTAGCGGAGGGCAAACCAATTGCGTCAGCGCGGGACCTTCCTTGAATCTCATTGGGTCTGGGGTGGAGAGGGGCGGAGCCACGTTTCCTGGCACCTCCATCTCCCATCATGCTTTGGTGCTGTCTTGCTTTGTCCCTCAGGTGTGGTTCAAGAACCGCCGCGCCAAGCACGCCCAACAGCAAAGATACCAGCTGCTGCCATCACCTGGCCGGGAAGACCGAGGGGCCCCGGGCATGAGCCCAGCCCCTAGCCCTGAGAGTCCCGCCTTCCCGGAAGGCCCTGGCTCCTGCAGCCTCTTTTCGCTCGGCCTCCGGCCCATGTCCCCAGCGGCAGAGCCCGCGGGCTCCAGCCCAGGCCAGGCCTATGGGGCTTGTGCGCCAGGCGCCCAGTGGGGCGCTCCGACCACCACAGTCTCTGTCCAGGACCCCTGTGCCATGGGCTTCCCGTCGAACTACGCGTCAGGCTCCAATTCAGAGGACTTTTCAAGGGGTCCTCTCTCATCTTCACTACAGCGGAGTAACAAGCCGGCGCCAAGTTTGTGGATGGGGCACCAAGCCGACAGCGCCACCTGGCTGAGCTCGTGGGGCGCTGTGTCTGCAGCGCCCTGCAATCCCGCGGAGGAGCCAGACGGGGGCGCATTTTCTTGCGAGCTGCGCGGGCGAGGCGGGTAGCGCTGGGTGGTGGCGGGCTGTCATCCCCGCTGGTGTCTCCCATGGTGAGGATGCAACACCGTTTGTTCATCTGCGCGCTGGTGGAGGGCGTGTGCTTGTGTTTATGGTCGTTTGGGTCGCACATGGGCATTTCTGTGGGTTCCTAGGACCAGGAGTGGATCGCGGCTCAGGGCTGCACGCAGGCGTAGCTTTAGTGGATGTGGTCCTAACGTTTTCCAGGGGGCCAAGATGCTTGACTCCAGATCAACTGATCGCCAACAGTTAGAACTCACATTTTAATGGCTACCGGATCCATTGGCCTGTGACTTGATTGTGGTTCTAATATTCATTTCACCATGGTTGATGGTCGTTGAGCCCTTCTCACGTGCTAATGGGCACTAAGAATCCTTATAAAGTATGTTCAGGGTCCCCTCAGGCCCATATTTCTAATTGCTTTAGTTTGATCTCATACCTCCTTTTATGTCTTTTAAAATGTAGCGACCCCTTATGAAACGTTGCAAACATCTCCCATTTTGTGGCTTGTTTTTATCACTCTTGGGGCGTCTTTTACTGACTAGATTTGTTGCAAATTTTAAAGTTTCTATTTCATTACGTTTGTCTCTGTGCACCATTAAAAAAAATATCCACCCGTTGTCAGACTGATAGTTTTGTGGAACAAAACAAGTAACACCCAAAATTAAAGGAAAGAATGAAAAGAAAGTTAAAAACAAACCCAAGTACAAACACAATTTAAAAACTTAAGATTCCAAAGACATAACATTACCCTGTCGGACTGTGACAGAAGTTTCTAGATGTTGCGTATCAGCGACAAAAAGTTTGCATACTGGTTCAAGCTAGAAGCACGATTTGAGCAATGGTCTTGTGTTTCTTTCTTTTCTTTTTTACTCATGTTGCTGCAAAGGAACTCTCGTGGTGTAGTGGTAAGGCATTTGGCTGCTAACTAGAAGGTCAATGGTTTGAACCCAGCAGCTGCTCCACAGGAGAAACATGGCAGTTGGCTTCCATCTTTCCTGTCATTTGAAAAGATCACCCTTGTTGCACTGCTTTCATGGTGCCATCTCTGTCAAATGTATCAAGGGTCCATTCAAGCATGGTGTGTTTCTGGACTCTATTCTGTATCAGGGAGCTCTGGTGGCGCAGTGCCTAAGGCACTTGACTACTAACCAGAAGGCTGGCGGTTCAAACCCACCAGCCACTCCACAGAAAGACGAGGCAATTTACTTCCCTAAAGATTTACAGCCTTGGAAACCCTGTGGGGCC